TGCCGGTGCCCCTCACTCCCGACCCGCAGCCCCCTCCAGCCCAGCCCTGCCGCCCCCAGCTCTGCCGGTGCCCCTCACTCCCGACCCGCAGCCCCCTCCAGCCCAGCCCTGCCCCCCCCCAGCTCTGCCGGTGCCCCTCACTCCTGACCCGCAGCCCCCTGCCTCAATGGTTCTAGACAAGCCTGTTGCTCTGATTGGCGGACGGGGTCTGATATGAGCTGCATCGGCTGTTGTTACAGTCCTGGGGGGCTGAGATGGGGCGATTGCCAGTTAAGGGACAGGGGGTAAAGGTGCCCACGTGAACCAGGTGCCCAGAGAGAAGACCTGTGTGGCTAACGGATATGAACAGCTGGGATCTCTGCTCGAAGGGGGGCTGAGGTGTGGGGGGGAGAAGTGGGGGGGTGAGGGGAATAAAGGTGGGGGTTATATAGGGAGAGAGGAGGGTGAATTGCCTTGGGGGAGTCGAAGGGCTGAGGGGCCCAGGGTGGGGAGTCGGGGTGCACAGTGTGGGGGGAGAGGGGCCTGGAGGGTGACACACAGCAACAGAGACGAGCGGGGCTGGGGGAGAGAGAGAGACATTTCGGCCTCCTTATCTCTGTTGATTCAGCGTTGCTCGTTTCCTGATAACGAGGCGCTCGCGATAAACTGGCCCCGGCCACCAACCACTTCCCTCCCCCCCACACGCCTCCCCCGGCCAACTCCCCCCGTCCCCGCTGAGCAGAGAGCAAAGCCCCGACCAGGAGGAAACCACGGAGATGCAGCCAGGTGATAACTGGTGCATTAGTGCTGCTAAGACACAGCTGCCACCCACCCCCTCACGGACCGGCAGCTCCCCCCCCGAGTCTCCCCCCAGGGCCGGGAATGCTCGGCCGGTTGGAAAAAGTCAGGAGCAGCCACTAGTGCAGATGGCAGCCGCTCGGCCCGCCGAAGGCGGCGCTTCCGGGGCTCCGGGGTCGTCCCCCCATTTAACTGGTGCAAATGGTGCAGGACCTTGTCACGGTCGCCGTGAGCCCCACCGTGCTGCGTCTGTCCCCATCCTGGGGGAGGGGCATGGGCCAACCACGAGCCACTGGGCTCTGCCTGGGTGAAATCCTCCGGCAATGGGCTATGGGCCCCCTCTGGCTGGGGGACCCCAGGACCCCATGAGCTGCCCCGAATCGTGGGCGAGGAGGCTGCCGATCGGGTTAGCCTCAGCCCCGGCCCTTCTCCAGCGAGCCGCGGGGTGGGGATCCCAGGGCGCCTCCGGCACATGGCTGGCAAAGGGCCACCGGAGAAGCCACTAGAGCAGTAGGGCGTGTGGGTGCAGGGAGGGGATATTTGGGGCCCAGATCTGTCTGGGGGCTTTGCCTGGACTCTCCATTGTTGTGAAGAGGACAAAGCCAGCTCCCCACTCCCCTCCGGATCGGCCCCATGGGCCCTGCCAGCCCAGTATCCTCCCCTCCCCCAGCTCAGACCCCTAGCCCCAGCCACCTGGTCTCCCCCTCCCCAGATCGGACCCCTATCCCCAGCCACCTGGTCTCCCCCTCCCCAGATCGGACCCCTAGCCCCAGACACCTGTTCTCCCCCTCCCCAGATCGGACCCAGACAGCAGTGGGCTGGGGCCCCGGAGGGGTTACACACTCCCAGGCTGGTGGGGGGCAGGAATTGGGTCTCTCTGATCACACCTGGGTCTCATCTTGCAAGCGTGATGGGTGCCAGGCAGTTTGAGGGGGGAGGGGGAGTCTGAGCGTGTGAGGTTCCGTGTGACGGGTGGCTCTGTGTGTGTGAATCTGCTTCCACTCGTGTGTGCATGTGTGTCTGAATCTGCTTGCATGAGTCTGTGTTTGCACGAGTCTGTCAATCTGCTTGCACATGAATGTTTGCACTTGTGTGAATCTGCTTGCACGAGTGTTTGCACAAATTTGAATGTGCTTCTGTGAGTGTGTTTGCACGTGTTAATCTGCTTGCAAAAGTGTGTGTTTGCACGTGTGTGTGTGAAGGGACTTTGTCTCTTTTACACACTGACAACCTTTGCTGACCCTGTCACCCCAATGCAGCTGTAGCCAATCGAACGGTGGGGTGTAGCCGTCTGAGTGTGCATCTGTGCCGTCCCTCTGCCCAGCTGTGATCTGCCTGTCAACAGCCTGGCCTGGTCCTGACACACCCAGGCTGGAGTGCAGGATGCCTGGGTCCTCTTCCCAGCTGACCCTGTGCCAATTCCAGCAGCATGCTGTGCCTCAGTTTCCCCTTCCTGGGGCCCCACTCGGGACTGCGTGGCCCAGAGCCCAGGGTGACAGATGCGGCAGAAGCACCCGGAAGGAGGTGAGTCTGCGTGTGAAATGGGTCCACCCCGCTGCCGCCTCTGACGTCACCCCCCACCCCGTCCCCGGGGGGTCAGGAAATGGGTCCACCCCATAGCGCCATCACAGAGGCAGAATCGCCTGGGGACCGTGTGCCATGGAGCTTCCGATGGGGCTTTTCCTCCTCGTTCTCCACCTTGGGGGTGAGTCCGCTGCTGGAGGGGCACGCAGGCTGGAGGGTGGGGAGCCCCAACCCGGGGAATTGAGGGTTGGAGATAAGACACCCCAGGGACGGAGAGCACCTGAATGGGAGAAATGGAGTTGGGCCCCCCCAGCAGGGAAATGGGGAGCCATAGATGGATGGGTGCATTAAGGGGGTGGATGGATAGGGGGGTGCATGGGGATGGATGGGGGGACATTGGGCTGGATGGATGGATGGCTAGAGGGGACACAGGGACGGACGGATGGATGGATGGACGGACAGACGGACGGGGGTACATAGGGACAGATGGACGGATGGCTAGAGGGTACACATGGATGGATGGATGGATGGATGGATGGATGGATATAGGGACGGATGGATGGACGGACGGATGGCTAGAGGGGACACAGGGACGGATGCTGGGTAACACAGTCGATATCTCCCCACTTCTGCCTGTGATCTGTGGAGGCTGCCGGGTCTTTGCCCCCCACGCCCCCCCGTGCAGTTGGCTGGACTCTAGTGGGGTTTGCGAGGGCGCTGGCTCAGCGGATGTAGGTTCACCGGGGGGGTGCGAAGCGGCAGGGGGGGATTAGGTGGCTGCGCAGTGAACTCACTCGGCAGCCCGACCACGCGCCCCGTGGAACGGCTCCTCGGGTCCCCGCCGGGACCGCGCTGGGGCAGAGCCGCTGCCAATGGCCCCGAAAGAAACACCCAGCGGCCGGATCCCCGGCCATGTGATGTGATGCCACTGGTGTCATGGCATTTCCCGCAGTCCTACCGGGGGGCTGGGAGAGAACCCAGGAGTCTGGCTCCCAGCCCCTGCCCCCCCCCC